GTCCCCATTTTATAACCAAGAAAACGGAGCCCCAGAGAAGTCAGCCAACTCTCCCAGGGTCCTACACTCCAACTCAAACATAGGAATTCATCTTTTTAAGCACCACGACTCCCTGCCCTGAGTTATTCGAGGTTTCCTTATCTGTTGAAACCATCTTCTTACCTCTCTACACCTGACCTATATGGGCAATCAATACACGTTAGCTGCCAGCCATCAAATATGTATTTCTTTCTCTCTCTCTGTTTTTTTTTATGCTAGAAAGCACATGTATACATGAGAGATGAGAGAAATAGAGAGACACAGAACCCTCCCAACAGGGCCTGCTCACACAACAACCCTTTTCCCTCCAATTCTACATCCCATCAGGATCCTGTGCATTCCTGTATGTACACAGCATGTTTTACAAGCTGTCAGGCTGGGACTCAAACCCTTGTCAGCAGTGTGGAATCCAGCTCTCTCTACATAATAATTAACAACTGTTCTATGGGACTAGACCTCAAATACATGTTAAGTAATTATTATGTGTCAGGCACTGTGCTTGATGAAGTTGTATTTGCTGTCCTGAATTATCCCTCCCCTCCCTAAACCCTGCTCTTCCCAGCCATCCTCCTTCCCCTTTCTGGGCCATGACCAGGCCCCACCCAGGTACTGAGACTCAAGTGAGCTAAGGAAGACTTGATGGCCACTGTTTTCTGAAGCCCATGTTGGAGTGTGCTAAATCAGTTAGCATCAAGATAAATTAAAGTTCTTATAACAGTGAAAAAAAAATTGGCTGCATTTTGCACAGACCCCAGTGGGGTAAGGAAGACAGGGTTGTGTCTCACATAAATGGGGCTCTTCAGAAAGGTCCTAGAAATTAAGCAGGTTAGGAAAAAATGGCGTATATTTCAAACAATTTTTTGCACAAAGTAAACTCACTTTAATGGCATTTTTTCCACAAACCTTTTGAAGACCCCTCATGCAATCTTTCTTCAGGATGGTCACAGCTCTTCCTAAGACTTGGGAATTCCTATTGTTGGGAAAGAAGAGAAAACTAGATACAGGACACAACTATTAAAAGGGGTTACTGAGGACCAGCAGGTGGCATGGTGGTTAAAGTGCTGGACACTCCCACATGGCGGACCATGGTTCGAGTCCCAGACTTGGTGGCCTGTATTCTCACTTTCCTTCTCTCTCTCTCTCTCTGTGTGTGTGTGTCTCTCTCCAAATTAAAATAAATGAATGAGTAAATAAAATTAAATAAATAATTATTTTTTAAAAAATTAAAAAATAAAAAATAAAAGGGGTTACTGTGTTGGGTTGTGTGTATGGGGGAGTGTGATGCGTGGACGTGTGCATGAGCCCGTGTGTTACGTGTTACGTGTTATGTGTGTTGGCAGGGCAGGTTCTCGCCAGCTCTGTGATCTCAGGTGAATCTGTTACCAATTCTCCTTGTATCCCCCATGGATTCCCTGACACCTATCCTGTCCTCTTAGGCAGACTTGGCTCTATAAAAATTGCAATTCCATGTTTCGAGGAACTGCAATTCATTTTCACTGAAGCATGCTATCAGTGGTAATAGAGGGGGCTTGTAAAACTGATTTTTTTATTCAGGTATTAGAGGGTGGCTATTATGTGAGAGCGACTATGACCAGAGCTACTCTAGCCATAAATTCTCTTTAAAAGGAGCTTGTTATCAGCACACAAATCCTAGAAAGGGTACAACTCAGTCTGCAGGAGGAAGATCCAGAAATCCCCAGGCATCCTGTCAAGGTGGCCCCAGGAGGGAGTGAACCGAATGCACTCAGGGTTGGCCCCAGGTAGTGTTGCCCAAGCATTTCAGATCCTGCCCAGTGATTATAACAATTCTGAAGAAGCTAACATTTGCTCCTTAACCGCAGCAGACACACACACACACACACACACACACACACACACACACCCTACAGGCAGGGGCATCACAGGTTCATCTCATTAACACTTTTGAGCCAGGCAGTGATGATAGCTCTATTGTACTGATCAGAAGGAATGAGGGAAGGTAAGCATCTTGCCTCCAAACCCAGCTAGTAAGGCCAAGGCCCATGGCTGAAGCCTTGAGGCATAACCACAACCCCTTCCCACCTTTGCTAGGGTTTCAGGGATTAGCACTACTTAATTTAATTCCACAAACACTTGATGTGTGACTTGGGTAACATGCAGTTAATAGAGGGAGTTTTATTTCATTAAGAGAGAAAACAAGGGATAGCCCTGTAGCCTAGCGGTTAAGGGAGCCAGATCCCACAGGGCTGACTCTGGTTTAAATCCTAGCCCCCATAGCTTGAAAAACGTACTTGGTGTGTGTGTGTGTGTGTGTGTGTGTGTGTGTGTCCCAAATCCCAGCAGGATGAGAAGGGATTGTGGTGTGACCATGCCCCATCTTGGATGCTTTCTTCTTCTCTGTTAAGCACACATGCCCTCTGGTGATTTTTTTAAAAGATAGAGAAAAAAAGAAAAGCACAAAAACATTTGAAGTGCCTTCTCCCAAATGACTTAGTATTTTTCATATTTGAAGTTGACATAAGAGTACAATTTCAGAGCTCCATCCTGGAGCAGGGCATTTTTTTCACAGGCTCTGCCTTTGATTTGGAATTAGGGTGGCATGGAATTTGGGCTTTTCCTTCCTGGCTGGAGAAGCTGCTGGGGGTGGAGTAGAAAGCTCTGCTGCCTCTGCTGCCTCTGGTAGCCTCTGCACCCACCTGCTCGGCTATGGACAAGTGGACTCCTCTTCCTGAGCCTCAATATTTTCTCTTCTGTAAAATTTAGTTTTGAAAAAAAAAAAAAATTGATCGGGAACCAGCAGTTAGCGTAATGGCTATGTCGCTGGACTCCCATGTAGTCGACCGCAGTTCGTGTCCTGGACCCGGTGGCTTAAAACTCACGCCGGGCGCGTGTGCGTGCGTGCCCAAAATCCCAAGAGGAGAATGGAGGAGAAGGGATTGCGACGTGACCATCCCCCCTGGGGGGTGATTTCTCGCTTTCTGTCTCTATGTCTCTGTCTGTCTGGCAAACGCATGCACCCTATAGTGAAAAACCTCTCCAAAAAAAAAAAATTGATCAAACGATATAAATAATGTATAAAAAGAGTGCTTATATGTATGTTATGGCCAACAATACAAAAACATATAGTCGTGTAATGAGTTATATTAATATTGTCACCTATGGATGGGAAATGTGTTACCTGTATGCATCAGGACCCAGAGGAGGAGCCACACAAAAAGCAAAGATGAACTTCATTACCATCTCCAGAACCATCGGCCTCATGGTTACTTATATTTTATTACTACTTCAGGCTCCTCTACACACACTTAGCATGGATCATTGGCCACAGACCCACATGCCTTTAACTTTATTATCTTTTGCCTCATGTATCTCATCAAAACTTTGCTTCTTCATCAAGGATCTGCATATTATTAACTTTAGAATGCATGGCTCCATGACTTTGCCTGTCTTGAACTGTCTGGTGATCGTATTATGCTCTTTCTGGTCTTTGGGCCTTTGCATCAGTGTTTTTCTTGGTCACTTGCAACAACCACTTTCTTTCTTCTTTTCTTTTTTCTTTCTCCCTCCCTTTTTTCTTTCTTTTTTTTTTAATAATTTTTTTTTCTTTGTTCATGATAGAGCACCTGAGCATGCTTGAGAGAGAAAGAGAAATACCCTCAGGGCCTGGTCATGCTGTGACATGCTTCCTCCAGTCCTCCAGCCTGTCAGATCCTAGGTACTCGTGCATGTGCCTGGACTGTTTCCAGCTGACATAACCAGGGGTTTGACCTACGATTGCCATACGGGATCCTGCTCCTCTCTCTCTTTTTTTTAAATTATTATTTATTTTATTTTATTTTATTTATTATTATTTTGTTTGCTATAGTGCATATGCGTTCACCAGAGAGAGGTAGAGAGAGAAAGAGAGAGAGAAGGAAAGTGAGAAAGCAAGTCACCAGGAGATTTGAACCGTGGTTGGCCATGTGGGAGTTCAGCACCTTAACCACCACACCACCTGCCAGCCCTGAAACCCTGCTTCTCTTGAGCAGCACATTACTGCTGTGCCAGAAAGCTGGCCCCCAACAACCACTTTCGACTCTTCCTAACCCCTACTCAGTCTTTAATACCTAGCCCACTTGACACTTCCCCCAGGGAGCCCTCTTTGTGCTTGTCCTCTTTGCAGACCTTTTTCTTCCTATACTGGAATGTCCCCTTTCCTTGTTTTCTCTCCTGTTAGGTTGTAAGCCACCTGAAGATAGAGAGCATCAGTTGTTCACTGGTGCATCCTTGGTGCCTAGGCTACTAGGCACTGCATTCAATGTATTAGTCGAGAAGTGCTGGTTAGATTTGGGCTTCCAGTGGGAGAGAAAGTGGGTAATAAAGCGAGCAATAAAAGCCGTTGCAAAGATATCAGCAGGCTATTGAAAGCATAACAAGGAGGAGAAGGAAGTAACTTCATCTCTAATAATAGGGTAGTGAGAGAGTATGTTCCGCAACATCTGCAAGCTCTTTCACATACATTATCTAATTTGATCCTCATAAAAGCCTAGCAGTAACTATATTACAGGAATGAAGGTAGAGTTTTGAGTGGTTATGTGATATGCCTGAAGTGATGCAGCGACTAAATAACTAGATTCAAACCAGTCCTTGAAAGCCTCTTCTCTTTTCCTTGAAGCAACAATGAAGTGCACGTCATCACACCGTGTCTATTTGATTGTACTCTGGCTCATGCTCTATTGTCTATAGGACACCTCATTGTGGCTTTATTGACCAGGCAATGATCTTCTTCCCAACAGGATGCATTTAATTAGTATATGCCTAGCTAATGACTTGTCTAACCTTGAGGAGGAAGTACAGCCAGGGCAGTAAGCACATCTCATTTTCATCCACACGCAGTAATGTGGTTGCTAACAGGGCAGGTGTGTGTATTCTGAGATACTAGCCTCTTGTAATGTGCAGTTTCTTCTGTTTTCAGGCTCAAGAAGCACATCCTGGGAAGGAAAATGCGTTGTGGACCCCTGTGCCAATTCCTGTGGCTCTGGCCATGTCTGTCCTGCATTCTAGGTGTGCCCATCCGAAAAGTCCAGGATGACACCAAAACCCTCATCAAGACCATTGTCACCAGGATCAATGACATTTCACATACGGTAGGGACAGTCTGGGGGGACAGTACTGTGACTGGCCCAGCACTGGCTCCTAATAGAGACTGGAACCAGATGGTCCAAAAAACATTTGTTAAGCCTCTTTTCAATGCTAGTCACTTAGTAGAAGCTGAGGATGATTTGAAAACACAGGACTCATTCTTTCTGGTTTCCTTTTCTTTTTATTAAGTGTATTTATTTCTTTCTTGAGTAAGAGAAGAAGACCCCAGTAAGGTCTTGATGCCATGCTCTACCCCCAGCTTCAGTCAACCCCAGATGGTGGGCACACACGTGCCTGATACACTGAGGGAGGTCTCTGAATACATACCCAGATCTTTGCCATGTGGGTCAGCCTTGCAGGACCCTGTTTTGCCCTGTGCCATTGTCCAACCCTTCTTTCTAATGTTTCTCTTGACCCCTCTGCCAGCCTGGGATTGAGGGGTGAGTGGTTCCCAACCTAAACCACCCTAAGGCCCTGAAACCATGAGGCCATATGTTTTATTTTCAGCAGTTCCAACCTTTTGAGCACCAGGAACTGGTTTTATGGAAGACCATTTTCGTGCTGATGGGGAGTGAGGGAGATAGTTTATGAGCATGTGCAACCTAGATCCCCTGCATGCACAGTTCTCAATAGGGTTCACATGCCTATGAGAATCTAATGCCCCCACTGATCTGACAGGAAGCCAAAGTCAGACAGTAAAGAAAGCAATGGGGAGTGGCTATAAATACAGATGAAGCTTTGTTGCCTCACCCACTGCTCATCTCCTGCTGTGCTGCTTAGTCCCAGTACTGGTGTGTGGCCCAAAGACTGGGGACCCCTGTTTATTTTCACTGTACCATGGGAAAACTTGGACCTCAGAGGTCAGCAGGGGCATGTGTAGCAGCCTGTAAGGGTCCTGATAGCCTAACTCTTCCCAACCACACACACCGCTGCTTCTTCCTCTCCCTCATCTCTTACCTTCCTCATTGTCCTCCCTTCTTGACTTCAGTTCCTTGAATCTTAGTGCCTAGGGCCAGAGAGAACCTTGAAATTCCTTGTACTCCATTAGCAGGTGACAGACCTCCAGCAGCATCCCCTCTGGGCCTCCAATCCATCTCCACATGTGCTCATCATGAGGGTTCAAATGGTTTTAGCTAAACTCTGGTCCTGTGAAACTTCTCCACATCATTAGCCCCACCTTCCAGCATCACAATGGAAAGCAAGTCTACCCCCTTTCATGTGTAACCTTCTACATCTTTGCAGACAGTTCTCAGTGTCTACCCTGGTCTTTTCTCTGAAGTTAGACCTTTAGCCATTTCTCAGATGAGGACTATGTTTGGAATTTGAAATACTAAGTGTGAATCTTCATACTTCTCTCTGTCTTTTAAATCTTAAGCTCATTCTTTAATATCTTTAAGCCTTGGTTTCATCCTCTAGGTAATATCATACAGCCTTCACAAAGCATTATGACATTAACATTAGATAAAGCAAGTGAAAACACCTCATCTGGAGACTGCCACATTTTCTTCCATCTCCTAACCACTGGGATGTCTTACCAAGGAGAAGTTAGGTGGTCAGATGCAGAGACAGCTGAGAATTCGATGGAATCTTGAGCATTTCATAGAGAAAAACCAAAAGACTCCTTTCAAAATAGTTCTTCTATAAGGCTGCACATGGTAGATGCAGAGTGTCCCAACTTGAGAATGGTGTTGGGAATACATGGTCTGGGCAGTTACATAGAGAGGATCTCTCAATTTCTGGCAACTAGAGTCACTGAAGCAGAGTAAGGAGGTGAGGTCCTCACTGGGGACCTAGCTTTGATCCCTAAGGAGATGGGACTGCAGGGAGAACTGGAAAGGAGAGCCTATGAACCTGCTGGGGGTGGAAGGAGTAGAGTGTGGATGGGTGGGAGCTATGGAGAACCTAAGCTGCCTGGGGGAAAGACTCAACTAGATAAGAAATCGGGAGCCAAAACTGTTTCTTCAGCAGAAGTCATTTGAGAAGGCTGGTCTAGACTTGGAGGGTAAGGTGGTTTGGGAAGGGTCAGCTAGGAGGCTCAGCAGTCACCAGGCACAGGAAATAAAAGCCTAGAACAGGCTGGTGAGAAAGGGTAGGGCAGGAAGCCCATGAGCCTCCATGCTCGTGAGGAAGGTAGAGGGCTTTGGAGCATGATTTCTGCCCCCTCACTGAGTGCCTGCATGCTTTCTTCCTCCTGCACAGCAGTCGGTCTCCTCCAAACAGAGAGTCACTGGTCTGGACTTCATTCCTGGGCTTCACCCCCTCCTGAGTTTGTCCAAGATGGACCAGACATTGGCAGTCTACCAACAGATCCTCACCAGTCTGCCTTCCAGAAATGTGATCCAAATATCTAATGACCTGGAGAACCTTCGGGACCTTCTCCACCTGCTGGCCTCCTCCAAGAGCTGCCCCTTGCCTCTGGCCAGTGGCCTGGATACCTTGGAGAGCTTGGGCGGTGTCCTAGAAGCCTCACTCTATTCCACGGAGGTGGTGGCCCTGAGCAGGCTGCAGGGGTCTCTGCAGGACATGCTGCAGCAGCTAGACCTCAGCCCCAGGTGCTGAGGCCTTGAAGGCTGCTCTTCCCCCAAGGACCTTGTTGAGCAAAGAAACCTTGGCTTCCAAGCATCTTCAGGAGAAGAGAGCCTTGTGTGGACATCCCTTTTCCAGGACTCTGTCCATCTCTCACTCCTCTAAGCCACCCTTCCAAAGTCATAAGACTTCATGTTGCTTGAAACCAAAGATAAATACGCATGATTTCATGCGCACCAGGAAGCGGGTGCTATCCAGCAAACAGTGGAGCGTATCTGTGATTCTCACCAAATTCTTTGGCCACTGGGGAGTCATCCTGTCCCATCTTCATCTCCCTCTCACTGCATGCTTCAGTGTGACCAGGGTGATTCCGGGGTCTGGGGACAGAGCCTTTGGATGATCAGAGCAAGGGTTCATCCAAGAATCTGGGGGAGCACCATGAAGATCATGTACACCCACTGCTGGAAACTCCCAAGCAACACAAGTTGGAAGTACTTATTTATTTATTATGTGTTCTGTTCCAGATGGATGTAAACAGCCTCAGCTTTTCCAGGCTCTTTGAGATCAGCAAGGGCTAGGGATTGCTGTTTCCAATCCTGTCAACGGGTCTGGCTGAGGGGATCCCATTTTGAGTGACTTTAGGGTTGGAATGGTCCAAGCAGGAGCAGCCAAGGTGGCTTTCAAGTTAATTCCCTCGTAACTGGTTTTGTTTCTACTGTGACTGATTTTATATTACAGTGTCTGCAATGGCATTGCCCTGAGGGGATCTCTAGGGGCCAAGTTATTTTTAAAAGAAGATTAATTTGGTCAAGTGTAATACATGTCCTCTGGCAGAGAGGAATGGAATGTGTTGCAGGAGCAGGAAGGATCTAGAATGTGTTCTCTGAATGATATTTGCATGGAGAGCTGTCTGGAATGGGTGAGGCTATTTTCTCACCTTCTGAACTACTTAGGTGTTTCCAGGGAAATAACAAAATAGACAGTTCTTTCAGGGGAGTGGTGAGGTTTGTTCAGGTGCTCATGGACAGCGGGTGCTGAAGCTAAAGGCTATTTGTTGGGGCAGTGCTGAGGGCTGGCCTCGTTCAGCTGCTAGGGATGGTCTCTCCTTCCAGGGAGCGAGGACCCCATGCTCAAGACAGTGATCTTCAGAGTAGGTGTTCTTGGCGTGGTCTTCTGAATGGTCCTGAGTTGATTCCACAGAGTTTATAACAGGGCAGTGTCTCCCATTGGGGTCTACATGTCAAATTGGGGTTCTCCAACAGGCTGATCAAAGCAAAGCCATGTTTTCCACCCATTCTGATGGTGGAGGGTGGTGGTTATTCTACTGAGAAAACAAAATCCTTTAGCAGATGGTCTGAAGGCCTAGACCAGCACTGTGGTGAGTGCCAGGACCCCAGGCCAGGCCTTTGCGCTAAGATTATGTCCAGTAGGATGTACAGGAGGCTTGAGTGTTTGCACCACGCTGCAGCCATGACATGGCCATCTCACGGTCAGGGGTGGGAGGAGGTGGAGCCGAGGAAACTTGAATCAAACCAGTAAACTTTAAGACCGGTGCCTGCAGCCTATGACATGGTGGTTAAGATGGTTGGATCCCACATGGCCAACTGTGTGATTAGAGTCCTGAACCTGGTGGCTCGAAAAAACATGCTGGCTGTGTGTGCGTGTGTGCCTAAAATCCCAAAAGGAGGTTGGAAGACAAGGGATTGCGGCATGACCGGTCTCCCTAGGGGAGTGATTTCTCACTTTCTCTCTCTCTCTCTGGCAAGTGCACATGCCCCATAGCACATGCTTTAAAAGCCCAGTTCTGCCCTCAGGGACCTTGCATTCCCAGAGATTAAATCCCACTCACCAACGTGCAGAGGCAGGCATCTCACCGTGACACCCAGATAGCCAAAAGCACAGCGCTGTCACCAGCAGGTGGGAAGTGCCATGAGCTGAGGGCAGCGGGCGCCCGTGGGCTAACCCTGCTCGTACTCCGTAGCATATTTATCCTTTTCAGGCCACGTTAGCATCTATTACTGTGTAGCCATATCCCTGGGAAGTGATATAACAGAATTATGAGTCAGACATACCTTCAGACTCTACGAGTCAGTACGGGGCAGGACCAGGATGAAAGCTCAGGTCCTGTGGCCCCCTGAGTGTCCCTTAACCAGGTGATGCTCTCTGGAGATGGGCAGTAGCAGGGAGACCAGAAGCGCTTTTTGCAAGTGAGTTTTGAGGCAGATTTTGAAGGGGGCTGAGGGATGTGAGGTACCTGTAGAGAGGAGGTTGTGTAGTCGGAAGCCTCAGTGCCTGGGGCGTGGGGTGAGGGTGTACACGGCAAGTTTCAGCAAAAAGCAGAGATGGAAGGGGTGGGAACAGGAGGACATGGTGAAGAGGTTTTGAAGGGCAAAGAAGTCTGATATGAGAAGAGTTAAGAGTCACAAGTTCTGGGCCGGCTCCGCGACCTGGTGACTAAGGCAGCAGATCCCACATGGCTGACCTGTGGTTTCAGTCCCGGACTGGCAGCTTGAGAAACACACCGGGTGCGTGTGTGTGTGTGTGTCCCAAATCTTAACAGGATGGAGAAATGGAGGAGAAGAGATTGCGGCGTGACTATGCCCCACAGAGGGTGCGCTCTCCCTCTTCCTCTCTAATCTCTCTGTCTGGTGAACCTATGTGCCCTTTGGCCAATTAAGAAAGGAAAAATAAATAAATAAATAAACTTGAAAGAGTCACAAGTTCTGGAGTAGAGGCCCGTGTCATGGCCAGGGACAGACTCGTTCTAGAAAATGTGACTTAGATAATCACAGCCACCTAATCAGGCCAGGAGATCTTAAGCCTTTTACTTACAAAACCTGGCACGATGGTTCTTCCCAGAGTGTGAAACTTCTCAAATATATATTTTTCGTAACAACAGAAGTTTGGTTTTGTTTTGAAAACATCTAAATAAATTAACTTTGCTCCCTGTCTTTGTTTTCTGTTGCCTTTTGTGGAGGGGCTTCGGGACAGCTGCAGCCGTTTGTAAGTGACAGGGCAAAGCCTAGCTGGCCTTCATCCGTCCCTGGGGTCAGCTCCACCCCGGGCTTGGCCACAGCCAGCCGCCAGTTATTCAGGCTAAAGGATGAGCCTGAGGCACGGAGCTGGCAGACAAGCACTTTCTGCATCCTGGTCAGTGCAGTTCTGCAAGGCAGCCTCGAGAAGCACCATTTATTAACACAAACAGGTGACAGCAGCTCACAAACCAAAACACGCAGCCCAATAACAGCCAGCCTGTGCACAGCGTCCGAAAGACAGCACGTCCCTCGTTGCGGGCACAGCACACAGACACTCGTCCCTGCAGTCCATGTAGCACCTCGTGGCTTCGACCCGGAGAACCTGGCATGCTGGCCCATCACCCGCAACCACCATGGGTAAGTTCAAAGATGGAGGGAAAAGTTGTTGGCTGCACCGGGGCTTAAGTGAGATCAAAACGCAGTGTCTGGGATTAAGTGACCCTCCTTTCCCTTCCCGTCACAATTAGCAACAGGCTTTAAGGATCGGTAGTCCTGGGCCAGGGAGCACGGGGATATCGACCCACTTGAAGCACAGATGAGAGCTGCAGGGTCCTTTCCTACTGTCTTAGCTTGGGCTGCTGTGACGGAGTACCACAGGCCGGGTGACGTAAACGATGACATTCGGGGTGCCAGTCGGTTCTGGTAAGGGCCCTCTTCTGGGTTGCATGCTGCCATCTTCTCGCGCACGCACGTGGCAGAAAGACAGAGCAAGAGCGCTCCCTAGGGTTGCCCCCCTTTTTGCCATAGGGCACATGTGCTCACCAGAGAGACACACACAGAGACAGACAGAGAGAGAGAGTGAGAAATCACCTTCCAGGGGGATGGCCACACTGCACTCCCTTCTCCTCCGTTCTCCTCCTGGGATTTTGGGGACGCCTGCATGAGTACCCGGCATGACTTTTAAGCCACCAGGTCCAGGACTCAAACCACGGTCAACCATGTGGGAGACCAGCACCTTAACCACCATGCCACCTGCTGCTCCCCCCTGAGGTCCCTTTTATAAAGGCACTAACACCACTCCTGAGAGCTCCATCTTCACGCCCTGATAACCTCCCAAAGGGCCCACCTCCTAACACCATTACCATGGCGGTGAGGATCTCAACATAAGAATCCCCCCTGAGGTCCCTTTTATAAAGGCACTAACTCCACTCCTGAGAGCCCCATCTTCACGGCCTGATAACCTCCCAAAGGACCCACCTCCTAACACCATTACCATGGTGGTGAGGATCTCAACATAAGAATTTGGGGGAGACACAAACATCCCATCCATTACCTGTGTACTAGCTTGGGTTAGGGAAGGAAAGGAGCCCTGAACGAGGGGAAACCGCAGGCAGGGCGCTGTCAGATGTGACTGGAGCAGCCTCAGTGGCAGCCTGGCAGCTCAGGGGAGTGGCTAGCCTCTCTACCAGTCAGGACCCCACAGCTGCAAGTGACAGAAACCAAAACAAGCCAACCTAAAGAAAAAGGGAGAGACTGTACCAGCCCGCATTGCTAAGGACTCCTTGCCCTGCTCCGTCTCTTACGCCCCTGTCCTCTGCACCCACTTCTTCTCCGGATGGGGAGAAGACAGTCTCCCGCATCTCCAGGCTTAGGGGGCCTTGGCTCCCAGGGTCACGGAGAAGGGTGTCTCTTTCTCTGTTAGTAGTGCCAGCAATGTTGCAGGAGGGCTCTTTTTGTTGCCAAGGATGGGACAGCCCCATGAGAACCACAGGGTTGAGAAGGAGGGAACAAGAGCGCTACCAAGAGATGCCCAGAGAAAGAATTTTTTTAAAAAGTATAAGCAAGTAGAAAACATATGCTCTCCTCCACCTCTCTTGCTCTCTGGAGTCCCCTGAGGTTTATGACTTCACTTAGGAGGACCTTGAGTCCTACCTCTCACACCCGGACACTCCTGCTGCAGCCCACCCCTCCACTGCCGAGTCAGTCCCATCCTGCCAGTCCCTGGGTTCTGGTCCACCCTCCGCTCACTGGGCAGCCCACAAAAGTAAATAACTCCTGGGGAACCAGCAGTTAGCGTAATGGCTATGTCGCTGGACTCCCACGTAGTTGACCGTGGTTCTCGTCCCGGACCCGGTGGCTTAAAACTCACGTCGGGCGCGTGTGCGTGCGTGCCCAAGATCCTGAGAAGAGAATGAAGGAGAAGGGATTGCAGCGTGACCACCCCCCCTGGGGGGTGATTTCTCGCTTTCTGTCTCTATGTCTCTCTCTGTCTGTCTGGCGAGCACACTCGCCCTATAGCGAAAAACCTCTCCAAAAAAAAAAAAAAAA